GTACGAGAGACAGTACGAGACAAACGCTGCTGTGCTGGAAGAGCTTCGCGAAGTGCGTGCTGCTCTACGGAAGAGGAAGGTGAACAGGGCAAGGCGAGCCACCAAGCAAGGTGAGAGCTTGTTGCGGGATAGGCAAGAGTGGCTGGTTATTGCACACGGGCAGGAGGCAGCCAAAAAGTTTGCAGAGGGTAGCGAGATGCTGGGGATTGTCGGGTGCCCGCAGAAAAGGAAAAGGCTAATGGCAGCCATCCAATCCCCCCCCCCCCTGCGCCAAAAGCCAAGCAGCCCTTTCTCCCCCGCACTCCGTCCCAGTCGGCCAAGGGGTGGGGTGCCCACAATGCAAACTTGCATGCCACCATTGCGGCGAAACAGGCCACTACATTCGCGTGTGTCCCCGCCGGCACTCAGCTAGCCAGCCGCGAAATGCCTGAACCCTGTGCAGCTGACGACTATGATATGTCATTTCATAGCAATGAATTAGGTGCTGAAACCTATTCTATGTTGCATAGCATGGATGGGGAGTTCGGAGGGGACCGGGACAGGGTGGTCATTGGCAGTCTAAAGAAAAACGTGCAGTTCTGGGAAGAAATCGGAGCACCAAACTTGAAGTAATCAATAATGGATACACGCTGCCGTTTGTTAGATTGCCACGGCCCAGGTGGTCAGACAACCACAAAAGTACACATGAGTTTCCAGATTTTGTCGGGGAGGCCATTTCAGATATGCGTTCTCGCGGTTGTATTAAAGAGGTTAACAGAGACCAAGTGTCAGTGTGTAGCCCGTTGGGAGTGGTGGATAATGGGAAGAAGCTGAGGCTTGTTCTAGACCTAAGGTACCTCAACAAACACCTGGCTATATTCAAGTTCAAACTGGAAGATTTGAAGGAGGTGGCAGATGTATATGAGAAGAACGATTTCTTGGTTACATTTGACTTGAAGAGTGGCTACCACCACATTGCTATAGCAGAAAGCCACTGGAGATATCTTGGTTTCAGTTGGGTAACCCCCCAGGGAAAAGCAGCATACTATACGTTTTGCGTCTTGCCGTTAGGTTTGTCAACCGCCCCTTACATTTTTACAAAGGTAACCAGGGTGCTAGTGCGTCGTTGGAGGGCAATGGGTATACGTTGCCAACTGTACATGGGCTTAGGGCTGTTAAGCTTGTTCTGGAGTCATTGGCACCGAAGATTGCTGGGAAGGCTTGCATACATCGCACAGACAACCAGGCAGCGGCACACATTATTGAAAACGGTAGCCGCAAAGAGCATTTGCAAGAGGAAGCTATGGCAATACACAACTTGTGCAGGCGTTTTAGCGTAAGGATTAGGGCAGAATGGGTACCTCGGGAAGAGAACGAGCTGGCTGATTATTATTTGAAGGTTGTTGACCAAGACGATTGGCAAATGAACTCTGCATTATTCCGGGAAATGGAAGGGAGATGAGGCCCCTACACCCTAGATTGTTTTGCCAGTTTTAAGACTAAGCAGCTCAGTAAGTACTGCTCCAGGTGGTGGAACCCAGAGTGCTTTGCGATTGATGCGTTCACAGTGGATTGGTCCATTGAAAGGGTGTGGATGGTTCTCCCAATCTACCTTATTTCACGTACAATCGATATGCTGCTAGCATGCAGAACCCATGGCACTCTTGTTGTACCAGAGTGGCGGTCAGCCCCATGGTGGCCAAAATTGCATGACAGATCTGGCGGTCAGCCCCATGGTGGCCAAAATTGCATGACGGAGCTGGCGGTCAGCCCCATGGTGGCCAAAATTGCATGACGGAGCTGCGTGGTACGGATTTGTGAAAGAGTGCGTGTGGTTGCCAAAGGATGAGAATACATTCTTGCAGGGGTCATGCCCATGGAATTTGTTTGGTTACGGCATGCCGAAGTCCGAGATCTTTGCTTTGAAATTGTGCGCAATTAGTGGCTGTGATTGCTGACAGCATACCTGGCGCGTGTTTGTATGCGGGAGAGCCTGAGTATGTCTGACGGTGCATGAAATGAGAGCTTGCGGAAGTTTGCCTCCATGCTACAGGTGCGGTAGGGCAAGTGCTATAGGCACACGTACAGCTATAAGCTGCCCGGTTAACACGTACAGATGTATCAACTCGAAGTTGCACCCAGAGCACTAGCTTCGCAAAGAGGTGAGTCCATGAGTTAAGTGTGCTAGCCAGAATTTAGAGAAAACCACAGGTACGCACGTAATGTTGCACGGGCGAGCGGCCTTCAGGCGCTTTGTAATCGTTGTTATGAGAGAGGTGTAGAAGAGCAATTGGAGCACTTGCCGAGGATGTCACTACAGCTATGATGACAGTCAATGTTGAAGTATCGTTGTATTCGTTTTCATGTTCGTCACCGTGGTCTGGGTGGCCACACATTGAATTTAATATTCTGTCGATAGTTACATGCGACATTAAGCGTCCGTTTGCATTGTGTCTGTATGTTATGTATGTTGCGAGTGGTGCATACGGTCATGCACGGAGTTGTGCTACAGGCATACATGGACACTACAGGTGTTAACCCGAGCAGCAGGCATGATAAGGGTGAAAGCTACAGGCTTACAATTATGACTCAAGGTGCTGCGGCAGAGCCAACCGAGCGCGGACGCTACAAGCAATCAAGCTAAGGGGGAGGAGGCAGTCAGTGGCGCAGAAGTGATCATGCCATTCTCCCACTGTGTGCTCCAGGCAAGTCAAGTCAACAGCCAGAACGCATGTCTCGCTGCTTGGCAGTCTATATGCCGCCAGCTATGCTTTGTGCTTCTTGGAGCAGCTGTTGCTGTGACCCTGCAGTTCTATTGTTTCAACTCTTTATTCTCACGATAGCCAGTGGCCAATAAGAGATAATAGTGTAAGAAAGGAGAAAGAGTGAGGAAGCATTGGGTGGACAGGGCCTAGGGGTTAATGACTACTTAAGTGTACGGGCAGGGGTGGTCGCCACACGAGCATACAGAGTTGTGCAACAGCAGGGATATCTCGGATTTGAAGGGAGTACGAGAAGGGATTTCGCGAAGCTGGGTGGGCAGGCAATTAAAGTAATGAAGGGCCTTGTACAGGGGAGAATGGAGACAGCGGTCAGTCCGCGGAGTTGGCAAGTTGTTGTTGTTGTTGTGGTGTGTACGAGAGAGTCGAAAAGAAATGCCTCATTTCTTGTTGGATAAGAGCAACAAAGTAAACAAGAAATGCTGTTCTTTTCGAAACGCGAGTGCACAGTCCAGAGTTCACGGACTGTGCTGGGAGTGCGGTACGCACTGGCTGCACAGTGCGGAGTTGCAGCATGCACATGAACGTGCATGCTTGTCTGAAGACAATGTTCTTTTTGTTCTTGCAATACTGCTGTAGAGTTGCGAATCCCACCCGCCCACCCAATTGGATAGTCATTGCTAGATATGTATGTGCATATGGATTTATTGGCTGAGTAAGCAGTAGTGCGTGTATGTGGCGAGCATGTTTCCGTGTGTAGGTCAATTTTCAGATAATTCTGTATTAAGGTAGCACATTGGCTTTAGACTGGCCCATTTGGGGTTATTCAGCATCTCCACCATTGTCGCTGGCGGCAATTCCCATTAATCAGTGCACTAGGCCGTGGTGAACGCATTTCGACCGGAAGTTCATGTATCCATTGCACCATGGCTTGGATCGCTTACTGTCTTGCGTTGTTTTCCTTTTGTTATGCTAAAGCGATGTGTACCAGGCTACTGCCATAATTATGTTTAAATGCTGTGTACCTGTGGCATAGTTATATTAATACACATGCGGTGCAAGAATTGGAGCAGCTGTTGCTGCGACCCTGCAGTTCTATTGTTGTTGTTGTTGTTATGGTGTGTACGAGAGAGTCGAAAAGAACGAGACTTACGGATGCAGCCTTGAACAGTGTTCGCTTCAGTGAGAGAGCCTTTCAGGACGTATCCGAGGACGGCAAGATTCATTTTTGACATGATACGCTCTGTTACAGGTACCTGTAATGCGTTCTTCTCGAACTTCTGAGCTTTTGAGTGCGTGATGCCGGCTTTCAGCATTCGTCTCACCGTACAACTGTCACCCTTACCTGCAATAAACATTTACAAGTACGAGAGTCGTACTGTAGCCCGAAATCTATACGCAGTCGCTTCCTTCCACGCCGATTCTTTCCTCTAGTTTCCAAACAAATGTCTTTGTTGTCTTACCTTGTACAAGGTGAGCACGGGCCATGGTGACTGCTAAACACACTAGCACGATCGTGTTGATAGCCTGCATGACGGCAAAATTATGTTACAGAGCGTAAACTGATGGAATCTGAAGCAGGGCAAGTTGGCGACCTTCGCTTGCACGATGGGACACGGACTGTACTCTTTCTTCGCAGAATGTCGCTGATTGCGCCTGAACTGTTCAGTTTTCGATTGATTCTCCAGTTTTATAGTGTGATCGTAGACTGCGGACATGCATCAGTTTCATTGGTATTAGTCATGTTGTAGCAAAACCAGGTACTTCATGTCTATAGTGGATCTCGTGATGTGAGTATTCGTGACCACATTAAGATGACAGAGGCTGCGTTTCAATGATGATGATGGAAGGAAAATGGTGTCCAGTGCACTGGGAAGGAGAGGGTAAACCCCAGTTCTCTAGCTATTATGGCTCAGCACTTGTATTCAGTGTTACATGGACAACTGTGTGTCTTCTTAGAAATAAGAATACAATGCCGCTATAGGTCACCTCATGCAATGCGAGAAATTGTGCTGTGTTTTGGTCGCTACATCCTGGTCTTGTGCATTTTTCAGTTCATTCAAACGAAGCGTCCCCGTTTCTCACGAACTGCCGTTATGCATAGAAAAGTACATTTACCTAGTTTTCTCATAATAACTAAAGTGTGGCACAACTCCAGTCCACGGTTTCCTGGTTGCTTGCTCACAATGCAGCCAGGACTCGTGCATCTGTCAACGACAGCTCCAATGAACTGACAATTTGTGACATGCCCGTCTGGCAGCTATGGGAATTTGACAGCTGAACCCAGACACCACACGAATCTCTAGTGAAAAGCGGAAAATATTTCTCCACTGACAAATTCGCACGTGCATTATTATAATTATACTATACGACGCAGCCACTATCTAGGCCATGGAGAGTGTAGGACAGTGATAGCGAAACCAAAGTATGAAAACAGTAGAATAATGAGTACAGGGGGAGAGAAAAGGCAGTAACCGCGACGGGTTTTATCCTGGTAGGGTGATATAGTATGCAGAGAATATTGGGAGAGGCAACATATTTTACTAGTGTAAGAAGGAAGCTCTTTTTTCTTCTCATTTCGTACAGGTTGCCAACAGCAATACAGAGCTGGCCCGCACACTCCATGGACATGCGAGGGGAATGTCGCAGCTACCTAGAAATCAGAACTGAGGACACATTTCTTGAACTTCTAGGATAGACGTGGTGTGCCACTGTGAATGGCCATCCGCAATGGGACGCGTAGACAATTGGCCAACGTGAACCGTAATGTTGTGGTGTCCAGCTGATAGAGATGCGCCGTTTTTAGCAATGGATTCGCAGATTCCTGTCAGGACGGCGGGAACGTGAGTGTTGTCGTTCGTATCCTGCCACATGCCAATATCAATAGGCGTGGGCTGGCGGCACTCCTTCCCATCGATCTTGAAGAACCAGCGCAAGTACTTTCTGGCACCACGAGTACGGATGTTACTAGAGTAGGACAGCTTCAAAACTGTGTCCGCTCGCTTCTTTATGAACGTGATCGACGCCAATTGCCCACGGTCCTTGTGATCAAACAAATTGTGACGGCTTTGATATTTGTATCCCAAGGTTCTCAGGTTGCAGCCACTTCCCAAGAGCTAGAATATCAAACAATATCAAACACATACACATACACATTGTGGACTCAGATGGAGAGGCAAGTTGGAAGGCTGTTGGAGAGCGCATCCAAGATATGCTAGAGCTGTAAGCCAGTTAGTTGTAGAACGTCAGTACCGTCGAGGTCAGTGTCGTGCAATGTTACCGCATGAGCTGATTGTTTAGTAACTGGTGGTGTTAGTGGACAGTATAGCGTAACTTGTAGGTCCTTGGTCTTTCTCTTTTGTATCCATACACAACTAACTGTGAACAAGCATCGAGGCGAGAACAGTTCTAGAATTTAGGTCAACAGAACGAGCTGACCCGACATTTCACAAAGGCTTCCCTGTTCTTCACCGGCTGCATATCCACTCGTTTTTGGAATACAATAATAGCCTTTGTGAAATTTCGGTCAAGCTCGTTTTGTTGATGGCAATTCTAAAACAAGGAACTGTGATCGCGATTCCACATGTTTGCCTCCTATCGGGATTATTCAATGTGACACGATAGGGAAGTACAGGCATGCAGTTCAGCCACATGTACACATTTCAAAATGTTTAGGTCAAAGAACTAAAAATCAGCGACACCTAGAAACCAACACAATTCTACTAGTGATTTTTTATCCGAACAACTGGCATTTTCGAAGCGATTTCTTCATCTTCTCAATCCTTGGTTTCCATTGCAGTAGCCTAAATACTTCGTATAATATCTGGTATACGAAACGCGATGACAGATTTTGATTTCCTAGCTCAAATATTTGATAACTGCTATTTCAAAAATGGAGATCAAAGAACGGAAATATTCGTGTCCGTTCGTGAAGGAAATGCACCACTCACTATCACCCGATAAACCATACCTAAAAATATGAGTAAATAAGACTCAGCTAACTTACCGCCGTCTTGTTTGCCTGCTTGTCCAGGCTTTTCACCAGTGATTTGATCTCCCTCTGCATTTCCGCGACATCATCGAGGATTGATGCATCAACTAATGCAGTGCATAAAATGGATAACGAAGAGGTAGGAAGAGCGCTTTATCCACCTTATGCACGCCAATATTCCCACAAGTGAAGTGAAGTGGGAAGTATTCCACAGTTTGGCACCAAGCAAGCTGGTGATATATTGTAGCGGCAGCACGGCAACATCTTTACAGAGCCGAAGCGATGAAACTGGGTTAGTGTTGTTATGAGCACACAAATAATAGTATTATGGAAAAGAAAAAGGACCAAGGAGCTACAAGTTACGCTATAATGTCCACTAACACTAACGGACTATATACACAATTGGATATAAAACAAAAAGCAGGTACAACCTTACCATTCTGACAATATTGACCGCTGTAACTCGTCGGACACCGGCATACGTATGCGTTGACATCCAGTCCAGTGGTGAGAAGGCACTGTCCACTATTGAAACAAGGCCCTGGATATGAACTACAGGCTGTTGAACGGCCCGCTGTAGAAGAGTTCACGAGGCAGATTATATACATGTACACCTTACACCGCCTCAGTACAGACAGCAACCGTTGGAAATCTATTGAAAGGTGGGCCAAATTCAGTTTACCCTTATTGGAGTCCTGCATAATTGGTATTGCTTTATGAAGCCTTCGAATCACCTGATGTATTGCTGATAGAATTTCCACAGTCATTGCGATGCGGTGATGGTTGTAGGTGAAAAACGGACAGCTGTATTGATGCTTTCCTACCCTCTCCACCCCTCATATAGGCACAAACGCGCGATTCAACTTGGAGTTGCATAAGGGACCAACCGCCATTATCGATAATTTTCACGAAACGAAAAAGTTTAAATAGGACCCTCCCCCACCTACCCCTGAACGAAAAACAGATTGACTTGAGAACTGGAATGCATTGATGTCGCACATAACAATAATTTTCGAAACGAAACTCTACATGAACCACGGACCCGTAAAAGAAACTTTTTCTTTTCGTGTAAAACATCGGTAATAATATTATGGATGGCACCTACGGCTCTTAAATCCGTGACGTTTTTGACTTCTTCGTTTTGACCTCTGTTTATAAAGATAGTGGGTATAATTATATTCTATTATGAATTATAGAGATTAGAAATTCCACCGATGGCCAAGGTAGTAACTGGTCGGTGTGTTTAAATGCGAATGCCAAATGATATTCGGAAATCATTTTCTTCTACCACCAGACCTGGAGAAATCTTTTTTAATTTTAATAATTTTGATGTTTAATCCGAGAAAAATGTGAGGCCAAAGCCACTGAAGTTACTGAACCATGAAAAACAGTTAATCCGACAAACCAACCGGCATGTTTGAAAAGCAGTCTCACCAATGCAGTCCTGTATGGCCACAACATGATCAGTTGCCCCATTCAGCAGCCTTGCTAGCGCCGCTGCCTGTCCTGTTTCAATCTGAGCCACGCTCAATGGAATATTGAGCGCAACTTCTTCGTAGGCCAGGGCGTCGCTGAGGTTGATGCCCGCGTGAAGCATCCATTCCACGAAGCAGCTATTCGGGGGAGTGCTAGCTCCACCTGGAATCAAAAACAATGATCATTATTTTGCTCATTTGCGAGTTCATTGTTAGCACACGGCCAGGCCACTACAGTCTCTCAATTCTTGGTGCTGACCGCTTTAATTAATGTACTACCCGATGTCAACCGGTCTAGCATACCGTGCCTGCATTTCGCGTTAGCTGCTTAAATGTCTCCATGGGCACCCTGTAAAGAAGACCATAGGCCTGTTTGGTATACCAAAGTAAGATAATACAATACGTTGAGTGAGTGATTTCAATTATTTATTTATTTTGAAGTGACGTATGCAGCGCAGAGTCTGTATTGTGAAAGCTCGAGTTGAGGTGCCCTCATAACTTTGGCAGAATTGTCGCAACTGTTTAACGTATATGGCTCCCTACTGATAAACAAGCAGGCATTCACTGTCCACAGCTCCTGAATAGAGCCGTCTGTTGTACATACCTTGCACTTCCTCTGAGTCACTGGCGGCGAGGATGGTAGTAGCAAAGGCGAATGCAAACCCGATCAAGGTGATCTTGGAGCAAGGAGACGCCATTGTTCTCCGGCTATAGCCAAGCCTCGTGTCGAGAATCCGGCTAGAAGGAGATCTTGTCTGCTGGGTACTATTAATGGTGAACGCCGGCAGAAACACAAATAACTCTGATTAGAACTTACGAGAGCTCCTCCTTTTATATCATTTTCTCCTCCTGGGGGAACTAATTGCAAGCGATTGGTAATCGCCTTTTGATTTCAAATTCTCAACGTTAGTGTTCCGACTACCGGTAGTCCTTGCGCGATGTTTCAAGCTCATTTTCAGGCTACCACGGGTAAATCATTCATGCCTAATATCCTCACTTCCAAGCGTCTATGAATAATTCTATTGTTATCAGTTCAACATTTCCTGGCTCGTCAAAAGACTGCCAATGGAAAATGAATGTGAAATGACGGGGGGTTAATAGTCAACCCCGGACGATATGGCACCCTCGGGATCACAGCCTTCACCAGAGTCCCAGAGTTCTATCACTTACAACATGTACGTTGGTGAGGTCAACGTCAGAGGTCATTCAGAGGGAACTGTACCAGTTACAGCGCAGTTGAAAATTAGGACGGAGAAGGTGATGGAGAAGGTGATGAGAGTCCTTTCACCAAGTTGTCAGAGTTCAGCCACTTGACGGCTAACTGACAGGTTACAGACTTCTAAATGCTCCCCAGCAACCTACGGATCCTACTGTCAAGGAATCTCTAGCCGCTGAGCACATCTCTACTTGAAGTATATGAATCGGCCCGCACAGTCAAAAGCAGTGGACGATCCCTGCAAGCATGATTGTACATGTACATAATCATTTATCGTTAATGTTCACGACGCTGACGTCAACTTCCTAAATAACATTTCGCTGGTTGTACTAATCTGTCACCTATTGCGTGGGCATCGTTGTTATTGAATAATCATAGTATTACAGACTTCCCGGTAACTCATCTGCTGGGACGACTCTGAAACGGCAAGGAAGCACAACGTTTCAGATATTTGCTATGGACCTTGGTACTCGCTGCATTTACTGGTTGCGACAATGCGTGTTTTCATTCATTCCAGAACGAGCATGGGCTATTTCTTACTTACTCAATAGTGGCCACTACCCAAATCACCCGGTAAAATATGAGTGGAATCGTAGAGTCAACCTTTCGAACGTCATGCATAAAAATAATGATCAAAGTAAGTAACAGGTCTTGCTACTATGCTATGTATGGTGCTATGAGTGTAAGTGGATGATGAACGTTGTCACTGCTCGACCAATGCTACAATGCATTGGTGCACTATCTCTGTGCCCAACCCTTTTACCGCTACAAGGGTGTGCCATTCAGCCACTGGACAAAAACTGCTAAAAGTGAGGCAAATAGCCCACTCCACAACTTTATGGTCCTAGCAACTGGGCCTTTGAACGTTTGGGAAATGGAGGCCAAGACTGCTACCAGCACATTGACTGCCTTCACCTGTTCTGTCCGTAGTACCACCGGATCCATCCTTAGGCCTCTACTTTTCCAACTGTATATTATTGCTCTTCCCTGTCATGTTGAAGGTTTGTCATTATTTGCCGACAGTACCGCACTGCTCCGGCTCTATAAAAGTCCAGACAGGCTGCGCGACAGTCTTCGGCGCGGTATCAACGAAGTTCATCAGTGGGTGACTGACTACCTTGAGACTACCTGGAGACTAGCACAAGGGCTGGCGGAAGGCTGTGAAGCATTCATTCACATCACTGTATATACCGACTAAGCCCAACCCAGCAGGCACGATAAATCGGTCTGTAGTACAATTTTGTGGATAGGATAAACGCACAGAACCTCAAGGGCAATCGGGGCTTGTTAGTCGCTACTTTTAGAAGTATTTACAAAAAGTTTCATACGTTAGCAATCATCAGGCAACATGGATAAGATACGATTAATGTATTCTTTTCAAGATGATATTCATACAGGGAATGGATTCCGTCAAATGTATTTGAAAGAAGCAATACCTTTGTGACACCACTTTCATAAAAGGAATTCCACGATCAGACTTGTCAGATTGAATAGCAGTCAGAAGTAATACAAATGCAATGCTCGAAGGAACCTTTTGTCGCTGTTGTGGGGCAAGTGAGTGTATTTACAAAATTATATGCTGTTGGCCACAGGGCGCAATGGTGTCATTGGTGATGGAGCATTTCAACGCAGATTGGTAGAAGGGTTAATTAGTCGCACTCACTGTCCTAAACATCTAGTTTTGAAAATGTTCTCGACGAGCAAAATATGCCAACAAAATACTTATAACATTGACAGCCAATGTGGTAGACAGCAAGCTGTAGACGGCAAACATTGAAACCAAAAATCTTGCGTTAAAACTAGGAATCGAGAGTAACAACATAATCAAATACAATTAGAATTGAGGGCACAGTTCCTGAACTTCTAGAATGGAAGTGGTATACCAACCGGAGTTGGCGTTAGCAATGGCAAAGTTTCTCATCGGGCCAACTTGTACAGAGATGGTGTGCTGTCCATATCGCAAACCTGCTCCTGTTGGGTCAATAGACTCGCAGATTCCTGTTAGAACGGCGGGCACGTGCATGTTGTCGGCCGTATTCTGCCACATACCTATATCAATAGTTGTGGGCTTGCGGCACTCCTGTCCATCGATTCGAAAGAACCAGCGCGTTGCAGCCAGAGCACCGTGTGTTCTGATGTTACTGGAATAGGACAGCTTCAGTACTGTGTCGTTTCGTTTCTTGGTGAATGTCATCGACGCCACTTGTCCAAAATCTTTCTCTTGAAACAGATTGTGATGACTTTGATACTTGTAGCCGACATCCCGCAAGTTGCAACCGGTGCCTAGCAACTGTAGGCAGGCAACACAATCACACAGATAGGCCGAACATCAAGCCAATGTATGTGCTGTCGAAAAAATAATTCTACGTGGGTAAAAAGTAGGGTTCAAGAAGGGCTGAGGCAAGTTATGTCACCGCAATGCCTCGCAACAATTTTTTGCTACACTTCTCGTATAGATACACCTTCTGTGCAGCCTCCATTGTATTCATTGTTCCTATTTTCTGATGATGGGCAAGTGCCGGAACATTCGAAGTGACGGAACTAGATCAGATGTGCATCGCCACGGGAGACATGAGCGAAAGATAGAAGGAAGGTAACCTACCTTGGTCTTGTTCTGCTGCAGGACCAACGCAGTCTTCAATGATGCCACCTCCGTTTGTAGATCCTCCAATTCCTCGCTATCAATCACAGGGGTACCTGTTACAAGTCAGCACAATCATGGATGAACGAAATTAAGGTAATGTTCAACTGCCTTCAGGATCACTGATCGTTACAATATCCACAACAACTTTGCTCGTACTCCGAAGTGTTCAGGTAAATTTTAAGGTAAATGTGTTTAATTTTATACTCTATCCGATGTACACCATGGTTGGCCAGTGGGAGTTGGTTAACTAACATTAGCAAACCTGTGCGAAAAGGATACATTGCACGCATGATTGAACATTATTTCGCAAGCAATTCACACATGGGCCCGAGTTGCCAGGGCAACGCATTTGAACTTACGAATTTGGCAGTACTCTCCACTGTACCCTTCCGTACATTGGCATGTAAACCCACTTCCAGCGATCAGGCGACAGTTTCCGCTGTTGAAGCAGGGACCCGTGTACGAATTACAGGATGCAGAATAGCGGTCTGCAGAGACACCACACAAAGCAATCAATGTTTGCACCTAAGTCACATATCACACTGATGCAACATTATTCACCTTCGATGACCAAATCTTTGCATAACGTGAGGGCAAATGACCACAAGGTAGCATAACAATTGGTTTGAAACACTTCAAATGTTTCCTTGAAGTAAAATGTACGGTACTGTGCATTCTAATAAAGGTGTGTAAAATGATATGGCCAGCAAGAGATAATGGGCTGATGTTTTAAAATTTCACTGGCCATGTAAACGTGAGCCACGGTGAATTCCCTGCATGCATATAATTCTTGTAAATGCGAGTGTAAATTACTGACGGGTAAGGAGTGATTGTGCATACGATTTCTTAATTAAATCCGGCTAATTGTTTGCCTCAACAAGCGCTATCTGAATGTCTACAGCGAAGTCCGGAATACTGCAGGTGTACTTAGATCTTCAAATAACAAAATAATTCTATAGAAGGACAGGCTTACTGGCGCAATCGTGGATAGCTTGAGAATCTGCGTCTGAAGCTAGCAGCGTGTTATTGTACAGTTGATATCCCCCAGCGACAATTCCCGTAAATGTCTTCGAGTGCTGAATGGCGTTTTGTTCGAAGGCAAAAGCATTACTCCGAGAAACACCAGCGTGAATCAACCATTCCACCAAACAGCTATTTGGAGGAGGGCGAACGGCATAAACTGTAGAAAAAACATCAGATAGAAAGGGGGTCGTTCTACTTCGAACAAGAAAGTAGCTTTGACAAGTCAACAAAATATCAACCACAAAGAGGTTACGTGGATCTCTGCCCCTGTACCTGGTCAGTTTCATTGGGTAGTCCAGAAATATTTAGAAAACATTAATTGCTTTTTTCAGATGGGTGAATACGATTTGACGTCTCCAATAATTTGCCTGATTACATTACGCAATAAATCATCAATAACAAGGACCAGATAAAAGAACAAAAGGTGCTTTGTTCCTGAAAGGAGATTAGAGGGGCTGGAAAACATAGTATCATTACGATATAAAAGAGGTATTTTGGAGTGTGCGATGGAGCGCATGGTAAGAAAGGCGGAGCTGGAGGGTCGTCAACCTCAAATGAGGTAATTAGATCATAAATATGAAGTAAATCCAAGTATATTGCTCTGATCTACCCTAGGTGAAAGCGGGGGAGTGGTGGGGGGGGGGGCATGGGCGATGACAGCAATGATCAATGGGGGGAGGCGGGACCACGAAGCCCATGGTGAGGGCGGGTTGGAGTGAGGGATGCCGGCATCAGATATCAGTTTTACACATGCACAATTCCATCTATGGCCAAATGGATGCGTATCTATCCCACACCCATGTACATGTACATACACAAGACAGAACAACAGAGACCAGTAACGTTCTCGTGACTCCGAGTGTCGTGTTCAAAAACACTCATCCGACGATGTTAGGGAATCGAGCACTTTTTAGATCAAGGAGCAAAGACACTTTGTGCGCAATGTACATATGTACGCATAGGTAGAAACGAGAGACAGTTGTCTTAGGTCCTCAGGCTATGCATAGTGCTCTATGTCCAGTGGACAGAGCCAGTTATACAATGACCACACAGCAACGAAGCAAGCAGCTCTTGTTCCGTATTTACTCGGAGTTTCGTGTGAAACACTCTGCAGACAGTCTATGACCAAGACTAGCAATCTGGATAATATCAACGCAGGAGGAATTATCCAGGAGCAACTTAGAGACTTACCATTGGCTCCCCAAACACCTGTGACTGCTAAAAGCAATACCAAAGCCATGGAGATACAGGTCGCGGAATTGGAAGAAGCCATTGTTGCGTCGATTTCCTCAGTGGTCTTCGCCAAGATTACGCAAAGGCGCAAGTTACCGAGTCGTCTTCACTGGTATTGGGAGACATTGAGCAAGTAGTTATCAAATATATACCAAGGGCAGTGTACAGTGAAAGACAGTGTTTGAATCTGAACGGAGCTTGATTGAGTGGTCGCTTTATATACACTGGTATAACAGTGCGCTGTACTGCTGCCGGGCGATGTCATTAGAAATGTGATTAATGTCACAATAGACACAGCGACAGATATACTTTGTACATGTCGGTGTGACGATAAAGCTAAACTAGTCAGGTCGCTAGATAGCTAAACACATGGAAAGTACTGATACTAGAGTGATGAAATTGTTTGTTGATGCTTGGAGTCAACATCTTCGCTGTTGAGTGTAACGATGAGTTCACATTTACACGGTGGTTTGCAAGCACAGAAAAGGGCTGATGCAATGACGCATTGGCTGAATTGTGGCCAGCTGTCCTTGCCTGCATTGGACGCGACTTTACTGACTGGCCTGAACTATGACAGGCGCAAATGTCAAGTGTAGTATGAGACGTGACATTTGTCAGCTGCTGTTACTCTGTGTCGTTACACAGAGAAACGGAATAGTCCAAGCAATCTGAGACGGTGTACATGTAATGCAGCGTCCGCGCATGTCAGACCAATCTGATTACTAGTAATAGTACCCCGACAACTAGACATAGGAAAACTTGTAAAGATGGGCCCCCGTCCCGCACACCACGCATACCCCACACCACGCAGTCACGCTGTTGTTACTCACGTAGGTGCACAGCCACAGCATGTGTTTGCTCCAATCCTCCTTCCCCAGAATTGACAATCATGACAGGGAACAGATGGCCCATGGCGGTTAGGCGTAATGACAGTATTACTAGTTTGCCAATATCTGCCATTAGGTCGTTGTCCAGCTCTAGGGTGCGTTTGTTTCTTCCTGACGAATATCTTCGTCACAGAATGCATTTTTTTCTACAAAATCCACATATCTCCAAACAGTGGGGTGAATGATGGAGTGTGGTGGTGAGGCCCATTAAGCTACGCCGACTAGATGTCTCGGCTTCATAGCTCCATGGACGCACCAAAGGGAGATTGGGTAGGGAGGATTAAATTGAAAAAGAAAACAGAAGAAAGAAAATGGAAAGATTGTATTGCTCAGCGAGGAAAAGAATAAGTTGAGTATTGATGTGAACGCTGTTAGACTTTCAAATTCAAGAGGAGACTGTCTGTGAGGAGAGATTACATGTATGTCCAAGCAGGGTAGGACACTGTACCCTCTTACTCGCGTATGCTATGAGTGGCCCAGTGCCAGTTCGTTCTGAGGAGGTGATGATAAGCTGCTGTCTTGTTTGGATGGTCTTTGTGTGAAATGGGTGTGGAATGATAGAGGAAGGCAGCTGGTTCCAAATTGGGATGACGGAGCGGGGAAAAGCTCGGCTCACATTGTTCCGTGAATTGGCAGGAAGAACATTCTGTATGTCCCACATCGAAGCACAGTATTCAATGCTTCGTGAATTTGGCAGAAGCAGGGAAGGAGTTCGTGGGGATTAAAGGCGAGGGAAATAAAAAAACCCACAGGGAATATGTATTCCATACTGTGCCTTTGCTTGCCTTGGGTATAATTATATTGCCGGTAACTGAATACACTTTTTTGAATGTCAACATCGTAACGAAATTCCTCAATGCACAGCACAACTACGCCTTTCTGTGAATCGTTTATTAATAATTATTTGTATTTTGAACACTGGAGTTAGGGTTCCTTCTTGTACATAATCATGCATGTATGTGCACAACAAACCTCCCTTGTCAGATTTCACAATCCTCATTACAGGCTAGCAGAGACGGCGAGACATCATCCAGTTCTTTCTCCCCTTTAGTAACCGTCACCCATCAACAGCTGACAGCGTGGGGTGTAACAGAGCAGACGCCACGGGGCACTGTTGGGTTTAGTATGCAGTGTACCAGTACCGAAGAAAGTGTGGCAGAAACGTGTGTGGACTACTGTGAGCTGGTCGCTATGTACTATTTCTGGTTTGGATAGACCCAGACATTCTTGTGAATAACAACGTCGGTTATAACGCCTACTCGCTTATTTGACTGTAACACAGGCGCGCCAATTAGAAATCGAGATGTCAAATGCAATCGTCCGAGCAATCCACAAAACTGACCATGAACAGCTGCTAGCTCTGCAAAATTACAATAATCATACCTGTATAGAAGTTCCTAAGGGTGTGCAGAATCCAGTGTAGCCACTTCATGTCTCACACATTTATACACCACTACTCAAAAACGGTCTCTTGGCTACAAATTCTTCCAAAAATAATAAAATCCAAATTTTCGGACCAGGCCAGTCTTCAGGACTAAAGCGCAGCATCTTCAGGAATTATTCATCTTCAGGAATTATTCCTGAAGATGGGCCTGGCCAGAAAATTTGGATTATATTACTTTTGGAAGAATGTGTAGCCGAGAGACCGTTTTTGAGTAGTGGTGTATAACTGTGTGGACTGGTATGTCTCTGCATGAGAATTGCCAGTTGGCATCTGACAGAGATGCCTGGCAGTCGCACTGTGCATCTACTGCTTACGCAGCTGCATAATGCCGTTTATTATTATTATTTTTTAAATTTTACTATTATTATTTTTTCGGCAACGCTGATGATGATGATGATGATGATGTATAACTGTGTGAAACCTGAAGTGGCTACAGTGGAGTCTGCACACACTTAGGAACTTCTATACAGGTATGATTATTATCGAGCTCAATTTCACTCCATAGCACATGGAAAGGTCCTCTCAGTCATCTCACTGGCACATCCCCACAACCACCGATTCCATACCTGCAGGCTGTCCACCATACCAATTTGGTCGGGTCTGTCCCCACATCGAGGGTGGTAATACGCACCCGAAATTGCATGTCGCATGCCTCAAAACTTAATTACATTTTGTATAATTTTTCATACGTGCGTTTTCGTACTCTAGTCTTCCTGCTGAAATCTATTTCACGATGAAACAGTTGACAAACATGTGAAACCCATTATTTGGGAAGCATGGGACTGGTATCATTTATATTCATACCTACATTCCCAGTTCATTAGCCGCACACCCGTAAACATTTGAACGATAATGCTACACCCTCTAACATTGATCACCTGGGCAAAAACGCATAGCGATATTATCATTTTTTCTCATTTTGAAAGAAAATGTGTCAGCACCGACGCGATCCACACAGTCAAATAAGTCAATTTTTGTAACCGAACGTTTTCGGTCACTTCTCATCATGGGTAAGTACAAGGAATAATGGAAAAATGTCAGAATACAGCAACTTATAGAGCTACAGCAAAAGCAGGAAAATATATTTTTATTTTTTTCCCACGCGTGAGGTCCTCCATCTATGCTTTCGCTGTAAGTCTATTAGCTGCTGTATTTTGACATTTTTCCATTATTCTCTGTACTTACCCATGATGAGAAGGGAACGAAAACGTTCGGTTACAAAATTGGCTTACTTGACTGTGTGGATTGCGTCGGTGCTGTCACCTTTTCTTTCGAAATTGGATACGCCTCCAATTGTTTTCCTTTTTACGTTGTCCTATTTTTTAAAGACATAACATGGGATTCGAACCCGCAGTATCGCCTTGCATTCATTCCTTCGATACGCGTCGCACACATACACATTCTTCCAAGGTGCTTCACGTTATGATCTTGCAATTGAAAGCCCTATTTGAATAAGGTGGCCAGCTGTCTTTGATGGTTCGGCACGAGACATGCCAGGCGTTATTAAAATGATGTCTTTTGCATAGCTACGGGAAAAAAAATAGTTCATGGAAATAAAATACCGTAAAAAAGCAACAACAAAATGCAATGAGAGAGTAAACCACTGCACACTTGATGACTTCTGCCACTTCATGCAATGCCCGCCCTCTTCAATAAAGCTACCTTTCTCAATAGTCGGGTGAAAAAAGTAACTTAATATCGTGAAAGGAAAAGTGGTGAGAACAAATATCGGTGAATGAGGAACTTGGCTAGAGCCTAGTTTAATATGGAAACTTGCATCGCTGAGGTTTTCATTACCACTAACAAGCCAAAATGCACCCAACCACGGAAGAAGAACAACATTGCACACCAAAGGTGCGTTAAAAGAAAGAATGATGAGGCCACCATCCATCTCAACCAACATGGTACTGAATCAAAACAAAATCAGTACTGAGGACACATTTCCTGAACTTCTAGAATGGACGCAGTATGCCAGCCAGAGATTGCGTCGGCAACGTGAATACTCAGCATTTGGCCAATTCGTACAGTGACCGTATGCTGCCCAGCAGCCAGAGCTGCACCACTCTCAGCAATCGACTCGCAGATTCCTGTCAGGACGGCGGGCACGTGAGTGTTGTCAGCCGTCTCCTGCCACATGCCAATATCAATGGGCGTTGGTTTTCGGCACTCCTGTCCGTCGATTTGAAAGTACCAGCGAGTTGCAGCCAGAGCACCTTGAGTTCTGATGCTACTGGAGTAGGACAGCTTCAGCACTGTGTCGCTTCGTTTCTTGGTGATCGTAATAGAGGCCAACTGTCCGACGTCGTTCTCTTGAAACAGGTTGTGCTGGCTTTGATACTTGTATCCTATGGTCCGCAGGTTACAGCTTGTGCCTAGCAACTGTATCCAAGCAACAAGAACACATCGACAAAGTGCTATTGAGTATAACTATGATTAATTTAGATCATCCCTGAGGAATGCTGTAGACTAGGCTCGAATATTCCAGCCATCAATTTACATTTATGGATGGATCATTTAAAATTCCTCAACAACAGAGAAGGAAACTGGGGAGGAGATGAAGAAAACAAATGTATTTCTCTAGTATAGTTGCATTTCTGGTCTGTCGTTGCCTTTCATGAAAAAATGATTTTTGATTGGGACATGTACTTCTTCCGAAAATTCATCAAACAAACACGCGACTGACTTAGTTAAGCAAGGAGTCTGGACCACTGAACACAGTGTGTTGGGAAGCTAGAAGGATCAATTACCCAAGGATCCCCCGCCCCATATTGGTAGACGTTGCATGTGGACAAGGACATGAGCAAGCAATCTCTCAGGATAATGAAATCACGAACGCCAGCAATACACATCCAGTAAGCAGACCCAAATCTTTCCCTCATAAACCCGGCCAAACGTATACACGTGTGGAGTCTCCACGGTACGATATTTGTGGGAGAGAATGACTTGTCTATTGTTCGGCACTAAAATGATTTCCTTGATATACGAAAACTGATCAGAATGATAGTAATGGTGTACTTATCAGCACATCAGTAATACCTTGGTCTTTCCGTTCTGGATTTCCATGTCGTTCGCAATGGCCGCCACTTGCGTTCGCAGATTCTCCACGATAACTTCTGCAACGTATCATTAATCAAAACGCGGGACAAAATACAACTCTAGAGAGGAAATAGACTCGTTAAGTCCATGAATGAAAACTTAAATGCCACCACCGTGAAATCGGTGCTCGGATGCAGCACACGGGGTCGAAAGTAGATTTCAGTTCGCTTGTTACACTTACGGTCTTGTGGGGTCCGACAGAAGTGGCCTGTGTAGCCTACGGCACACTGGCATTGGCATACGCACTGCCATTGGTAAGTTGGCACGTGCCTCCGTTGAAGCAGGGATCGTTGTACTGAGCGCAGGCTGATGACAGTTGCACTGTGAGAAAAGAAGACATACATGAAAACCCGTTTGAACACAAGAGCTGTAATCGTCAGGGTGACGCTCTGAAAGACATAATCTCTTTCTCGCCACTACAAACTATTACTTCAACTCGCACGGTGTTCACAGGACGAGGTTAACGATCGTGGTGTTAACTAAGGGTCCGCTGAAATAGACGACATTGTGATGTGTAGGTTTGAGACAGGACTAGGCTACCTAGCATTATGTCTCTATAATAGAGGTGATCTTCTATTAGCGCTACCGGGCTCTTCTCCAGCAACAGATAAGAGTTTTCTCTTCTTCCTACATATCTCGTTCTCTCCAAACGCCTGAGAATTAACCATAGTTACGATAGTTTGAATTTTTGGAAATGTTGATTTTATCGCTCGATAAATATCGATAAAATTATGGTTATGTCCTCCGTTAATTTAAGGGTTTTAAGCAAACGGGAATCAGGGCATTCAAAAATCAGTGAAGGCACCGATTAGTCTCATTTAACCACTATACTGCAACGTTCCTCACAAATTAAATCACTGCCTAGTGATTTGACTGCCATGTACTTACGCAAACAAAGTATAATAGGTGGGGTGTCATCACGCGAAGCTTCAAGTCCGGGGTGGATACCACGTTTCATACTGTAAATGTCGATTTGCGATCTGATTGCGTTTTCCTCGTAGATCAGGGATTGGTTGTAGCTAATACCCGCGTGAACAAACCACTCGACAAAACAGCTGTTTAGTTCACCTGTGCAGCCTGTGAGGAGAGATCAAGGATGGGAAATGTGCATTGGACAAAGATCACAATACCAGATAGCGGGTACTATGATGAATAGTAAGGTAGAGGACTAGAGTATGACCAGGCAGCATACAATGGTCGACGAGTAGACCAGTAGATATACAGTGAACCATTGCATCAAATCCAGGTTTGGAGGAAAGGTCTAAGAACCAATATATTACTCTCAATGTTCCGTGTTCCATTACATGTAGCATCACGGCGAACGCTACTAACACTTACCTTTAACAGTTATGAGTAGCGCCAAGCCAAAGAAAGAGAGCTTTAATTCGGTGTAGGCCATTGCTGCAACAGCGTGTCCAGACGTCTCTACAAGGGTTGGGCGAATGTGGTAATGTCTCGGGTGTGTATTGTATGAGATGAGACAATTTCAAAGGAGGGAACTCGGATATCTCTGCTCTGCAAGTGAATAAACAGCTTTCTTTTATACACTCCAGGTGCCTGTTAGATTCTACCATCGCAGTGAACTGCAGTAGCAGTTAATTGCCAGAACATACATAATGCGTGGGAGTCCGACTGGTCGCCTTGATTTTCATGAGAACGTTCACCTCAGTCTGATTATTCGTCCGGAACCTGTGTTGTGAGCCCATTGCGAATCAAATTCTACGTGAAACTGTTGTATTCGTGTTTCACCCGTTACGCATTGGGATCCGTGAGGTTAGGCACATGATTGTACGCATAAGACCACGTGTATTGTAACGAGAGACATGATTGTTTTGCGGGGGAGTGCAGTCAGCTGCGCTTGCGGAGTGAACTCGCTGTTCTGACTTGTTGACGGTACAGCAATGCGTTACAGCAATGCGTTACAATACAGGATCTGTATATGCTGCACGATTTTGTAGAAGAAAATTCTGGCAGATGTCACCATCAGTTGGCCTTTGCCACATAATTTACGTGTAGTTGGCCCTGGGTACTTTCCCTGCTGCATAATTATTGTTCATAGGGTCCTCAAGGGGCATTGACAACTGCCGTGCATCAGGTCTTGACAGATGTCACCGCCTTCTGTGAATCCAGAAATTTGTTTTGGCTACTGTGGACGACAGGCCCAGCCACTCGCTGATACCAGTGCGTAAGATAACAAAAAGGAAAACAAACCTTGCTGACGGTGCAATCGGTGCAGACAACGTTCGTCAATACACGTGTTACGCGTTACCTTGTCCACATTTGATGTCATTTTCGGGTTTAGCCTTGTATACAACTTTAAGAGTATACAGGGTACTGAAATGATGCAGAGTAAGCAGCTGTTCATTGTCACGTGTTGTGCACTGCTTGGACACTTGCACTCGATCTCGATCTCCACTCCGACGGCCAGTTTTACAGTCAACTAAGAGAGGTGGTGTTGAAACCAAGGTTGATGTACTCACCAGCCCGGCCGTACCTATCCCTGCCAGGACTAGCACATGCTGGGAAGCTGCACACACCATTCCGCCACACTTGCCTCGGTCTACGTGACAGACAATCTACGAGGCAATACACTGTATGCCAAGTACAACACTAACGGACACATAGCACCCCACACCGTCAGCTGTTGGTGGTGGGTGTTGGCTAAAAGGGGTAAGAACGTGCTGATGTCTCGTCCGTCTGCAAAGCCGCTAGCGAACGCGAGCGAGGGTAGCAGCTGGTGCCTCTACAGCAGTGGATAAGTTAAAATAAGGCATCAGCACTCCTCCAGGACACAAACACGGCACATCGCCCCTACTCCCCTTTGTTTTGTTGTCCAGTGTCGTTTCAGTTGTCCTCTTCCCCTGATTATTAGTAGCGCTGTGTTTGCTAGAAGAAGAAAAAAAGGAAAAATACGCAATAATACACGGTATACTGATCACGTAGTTCCATAATAAGTAGTTGTGTTGAACATTGAGAAACGTCGTGACAAGGGTGACCTTTGGAAGCGTTGATTCGACGTGCATCTTAATTATCATTATGCTGAAACAGTGTAAGGCGCTGCCTGGAGTAGCCACATTCAAGTATTCCCTGGGTCAATTATTGGTTGTGAATCGTATGCCAGTTGATGGGATTTGCTTTCAAGATGATTGTCACACAATCCCTCTATGTTCATATGTAATCCCCTGCGGATATTCATGTAAACTCCATGCACTACTTCACTGATGAAGACCAAGTTGTGAAGCGTTCAGCAATGTGGAGCGTGAATGTTGTGACGAACACATTGGCCAGGAAATATCACATTCGAAGCAGCACCGTACCACCTTACGCCTACACATGCCATATGTCCACTGTCACAAAGAGAGGTCTGAGAAACGAGGACAGGAGTACATGAGCTAAGAGTACTGGTATGTGCACAACCACAGCATGACTACCTGCCCTGGTGTGGCGTATAAGTGAGCGTGGTGCGCAGTAGTGGGCTGTATTTTGACAACATTATGTACAATCATCTTACTATTACTCGTTGGCTGTCCACTATATCAGATTGTCCTGGCAAGAGTGGAGATTTTAGTACTTCTACACTGTCAAAGTCGCCCTAGCCTGGTTAACAATGTTTTCCGTCACTCTGTGTAATGAACCAGAGTGACAGAAGCTGACAAGTGTAACGTATCATATTGCACTTGACATTTTCGCCTGTCATACTCACAATTCAGGTAAGTCTGTAAAGTCGCGCAATTCGCAAGCAAGGACAGCTGGCGAGTGGCCACATCTTCGTAAGTGCGTGCGTCATTTCACCAGCTCTCTTCTGTTGGTGCCAAGCATGGTGCGAACGTGAACTCATCATCCCACTCAACAGCGAAGATGTTGATTCCACATCGGTACGAAACAGAGCACAACTGTGTCGCACGGATATAATGAAGCGACCCTGACACCAATAGACACCAAGTATAACTCTGTCACTGTGTCTGTTACATTATAAAATTACCCCGGCATGGCACAGCGCACTGGTTTGCCATGGTATATAAAGCGACGAATCACTCAATATCCGCTCAGATTCAAATACTGCCTCGAGTACACATTTATCGCGAAAGTGACCTGATTTTGGTTCCTTATCCCCCAGTGCTAGTGAAGGCGACTCTGAAACTTGCTCCTTTGCCTAATTGCAGCGTTTAAGGTCTGGAGAAATCGATACAACAATGGCGTCGGCTTATTCCCCGAAGCTTGTATGCAGGGCCTTGGTGTTGCTTTTAGCAAGCACCTGTACTCTTGGACAGGAGGGTAAGACTCGTAGGCTGTCCCGGGACAGGTCTAATTAAAAAGTATGCATGATAGACTCGTAGCAGACTCATGTCGACTTGGTTTAATTTGACATTATTGCACCATATCGGTGAAAACCCTTGTCAGGTGCACATTGTCTATCGTCGCCTCCCCCAGCCCCCTTGTCCGGGGTACTTAAAAAAGAATTTACTTGAATGCACATGTATTCCATGTTTTAGGTCACATGACCTCCTTTTTATCGATTTCGCTAGTCAGTCTTTAATCTTCATTCAGGAGAAAAGGCGTTGATTAATCTGTATTACGCGCCCTGTGCATGATGATTATTCTGTAATGCGATCAGGCAAAATGTTGGATAGATCAAATCGTATCGACATGCCTGATCCAATATATTCCATACTTATTGTTCATACTCCTTGAACTATTCATAGGTTGCCTACATTAAGGTCTGTTCAAATCCCCTTGACTGCCCATGATGCTGTAAATCTGCGGATATCGAGATCCGTGGGACTGCTTCTTGGACGATAATTATAATGGATGACCAATCAAAATATGGAACGAACCGCTCTCTATCTGATTTCTGTTTGTGCTTGTGCAGGTGTGTACCCGAATAGCTGCTTGGTTGAATGGTTGATTCACGCTGGGGTTTCTCCCACCAATGCTGTGACCTTCGAGCAAAATGCTCTTCTGCACCACAAGAATTTCGCTGAGATTCTCGACGGGGGGTATTCACTGTACAATACCACGCTACTAGCTTCAGAGGCAGATTCTCAAGCTATTCACGATTGCGCCCGTAAGCCTGCCTTAGTTTAGAGTTTGTTTATCTTTCGGACCTCAAATTGCAGCTGCAATGGTCTGGAGTGCGTAGAGACCATGCTGAATACGTATGTTGAGGCAAAATCTTAGCCGAGTTAAGAAAGTGAATGTCGGGTAATACCTTTCCCGAGAACCCATTTTATAAATTTGTAACTGTACGAAATGGTGGTTACGACTGGAGCTCGCACTATTCTGCCGACTTTCCTTGACACTTGACTGACTCATGAGTGCCATCTAGAGCACACGTGAAGTCCCTAGGACCTTCACAAATCTTCAAGAAAGCACCACTCCCTGCTCAATACACAGTGTTTCGGGGCATTCACCCCTCATCAGTTGAGCTTGAGTAGGCTGAGAAAGATCGTGCCTGACTCTCTTGATTAGGGGCAATACAGTGTTTACTGGTCAGACGATTAACCCTTTTTCCGCTACGACCACCCTTGCACATCAGACAAGGTCCTTGACGAAGATTGCTGGTGTGGCCCAAATATGCAAATTACTGTGGTATTTGGCATTGTGATTCCGATCATTTTTTTGTTCCTTTTATTAAGTTATGCGCAAACCTTTGTTTCGCCGTGCGGGTTTTCTGCAGAGGGCAATTCAGCATCCTGTAATTCGTACCCGGGTCCCTGCTTCAACGGAGGAGACTGCGGTCGGGTCTATATTGGCGGGAGAGAAGAGTATATCTGCAAATGCCGCAATATTTTTTACGAAGGAGACTACTGTGAAACTGGTAAGTCGGATTTTTATTTATTTACTTATTTATTTATTCCCGTAGCTATGCAGAAGACGTTACTTCAGTAACGTCTGGCGCTAGCCAGGGTCCACACGGCTTTAATTTGGTGTTTGTTTGTTTGTTTGTTTGTTAGTTTGTGTTACGCCTGGCGCTATCCCGTATCTGTCCCGTACTGTACCGTACCAGCAAAGGCAGCTGGCCACAAAATTTTTGTTTGTTTGTGCCATCGACATGCCTGGCGCTATCCCGTACCTGTCCCGTACCATCAAGAGTACGGTACCATCAAGGGAATGAGGCTGCGTTTACACGGAGACGAAACGAAACGAAACGAAAACGGGCTGGCCTCGAATCGTTTTCAAACCGTTTACTACTCCAGGGTAATGGCATGGATCCGCTGCCGGGTAAGCTTTGCGCTTCTTCGTGCCTGCATTGCCTGCCTACGTGGAGCTCGTCGTCCGATCTTCACTCCCTCCGTCACAGCTGCTTCGGTAGATCTCGTGGTTGCCGAGGCTAGGCTCCGATAACTGAATGATCCTCCTTGAACAGACTCCTGCAATCGATGTTATGAGAGTTCTCCCATTAATATTATTACTCTTTTTTCGTATTATTAGTTTGTTTCTTTTGTTATGATTTCTTGTGTTTTTCACTCGGCTTTATTATCATTTAACTTATTATTTGGTGCACATTAGCGCTACATGGTTTATAATTTCCCTTTTTCTTGATTTTGTATTTAGCGCTTTCGGGTGTTATTATTTATTTTTCTTATTTTCGCACTAAATTATTATTTTTGGCTACCGTTCTGCTTTCGTTTCGCGTGGATATTTGTAAAATTGTTTTATGCACTTTACAGGAGTACGGCAAATCGTTTTGAACCGTTTACACGAAAACGGAGAACGGGCGATCAGGCTGGAGTTGGCACGTGCTGGCTTGGCGCAAGGGCGGGAAGTAACACGTTAGTTGGAGTTGGTACGTGCTGGTGGTCGCAAAGGTCAGGTATTTCCCGCGAAATATAGTCCCGCGCGAAATGGTTTCCATGACCGCGCTCCGTTTCCAATCGTTTTCACTGTTTTCACCGTTTACACGAGAACGAAAACGTTTTGAAAACGTTTTGAAAACGTTTCAAAACACTTTGAAGTGCGTTTCCATTTCGTTCCGTTTAGGTATCGTTTTCGGGCGTTGTCGTGTCAACGATAGTCAGTAAACGCAACGATTTCGTTCCGTTTAGGTCCTACTTCGTTGTCGTGTAAACGGAAATCGTTTTCAATCGTTGTCGTGTAAACGCAGCCTGAGTATATATGCGAAGTGTATCGGGGGAATGCATTCAGTGCAGCAACATTTTGTGTGGATTTGTGTGCGAGGCCGAGATCCCACTAGCAAGCTGGCTGGGCCGCCTGTCGACCAGCCCGGGAATGTAGGCGGATAGCATATTAATTATAACGTTTATACAGTCATGTAGATGTATAGCAGGGAGGCATATTATGTAAACGACTCCCTGCTGTATGGGGAGCTTTTCTGGAAAGAAATACGAAGTAGGGAGACGAGTAAATGCAATCAGAATGGATGTTAGTTGCCGTCAGTAAAATAATAAGAAGAAGATAAACGCCCGTGATCGGCAGAGTCAGCGCCGGTCCCAGGAAACGTCAGGACAGACATCCCGTCGACTCCAGAACGCCCGTGATCGGCAGAGTCAGCGCCGGTGCCATAGCTATGCAGAAGCCGTTACTTCAGTATCTCATTGAAACGTTTTTGCAATACAATTATGTAGCTAATCAAAGGAAAAAGCAAAAAAAAGCCCGTGATCGGCAGAGTCAGCGTCGGTCCCATAGCTATGCAGAAGACGTTACTTCAGTACATTGAAACGTTTTTGCAATACAATGATGTAGCTAATCAAAGGAAAAAAGGATTTCCATCAGTTCTAACAACATGCACGATGAGCTAGGCAACAAAGCATAGCGCAGGGCCCTGAGCTTCCAAGCTCTCTCGTTTATTTATTTGAACTTAGGCAAGAAGCGGCAAGAAGCGTGTGTTCCTAGTTGGAACAATCAACTTCATATTTTTTTCCCCGTTTGTCTCTTTCCCTCAAACTAGTGAAGATTTATTTATTTTCTTGCCCCGAGTGTGACTTGCATGTGTCCTCATCCAACCAAAGGTTTCAGCATGCCCGCTTAAATAGACCAATCCAATCCAAGGGGGTTGTCTATATTAATAATAATGATAATTCCGCACACAGAACGCCTCACATGTACGGTAGGGAAATAGAAGCAGAAGCAGAGATAAACGGAGAACGAGAGAAGAAAAATGTCTGTAGGCTGAAGAAGGATAGTTTTAAAGGCATGTCCAGTAAAACCTGTAACTAAAGACCACTGTGACTAGCACCCAGCCTGGTACGACAGACCACTTCGCCGGGCACGGACGGTCTCACATGGTGGTTTGGTGCAAAGCTCTAACTAAGGACCACCTGTTACTACTGAAGACCGTTTTCTCTGGTCCCAAGGCGTGGTCGTTAGAACACATTTTACCGCACACTTATACGGCCAGTACAGAGTTTACGCTTCAAATTTCTTTTTCACTTTCGAACGTGAGATCTCACGGCCAAAATGCCACTCCTCGAGTTGCCACATGGGATTTCAACGCGACAGAGGGCCAACTCATGGTGAAAACAGCGATTCCACGCAAGTTGTTTTTCTCTCAATTTCGAGACAGAAAAAGATGAAGCGTGAACTCTCTAGCAACCCTGGTAACGGTGGAACACAGTCTCTATAATTATTACTGTGAATCTTTTGTTTTAGGAACATTTCCTGCCTATAGCCTGGAGTTGGAGGATCTTCAAACGAAGGTGGCATCATTGAAGACTGCCTTGGACCTGCAGAAAGACAAGACAAAGGTAGGTTACCATGATTCCAATCTTTCGTTCGTCTCTCTGAACTTTGAGTGAAAATCTAAAGTGTAAATCAGATACTGGTGGGTGTCCCAATTAGATAGTAGAGAGGTTAAAATGCACGGCATTTCTGACGTGACGCAAAAGTTCAGCGCGCCTTATTTGGCTCGCGTGTCGAAACACAACCCAAGTGACCTGAAGTTCACGTCGAAATTTGGAGATTTACGCCAAACGTGACGTGGAATTGCGCATCACGTGGGAAATAACGCGCATCTTAACCTCTCTAATGAGTGTTGTGTAAGGTATGCACTAACCAATACAATTATTTTACATCCAAGTACCAACAGGGATGTAGAATACCTGGCGTCGGTTTGCAAATGGTAGTCCATGTGATAATAGAGCTCTACGCCTGACTTGCTTTTAACAATGCATAGTTTTATGTTATTGACAACACATTCATAAGCGTTCTATTCAACTTACTTGTATGTTGTCTTTGGTGTGGTCCCTTTGCTTGCATACAGTTGCTAGGCACAGGCTGTAACCTGCGGACCGTAGGATACAAGTATCAAAGTCAACACAACCTGTTTCAGGAGAAAGACGTCGGACAAGTGGCGTCGATGACCTTCACTAAGAAACGAAACGACACAGTACTGAAGCTGTCCTATTCCAGCAGCATCCGAACACTAGGAGCTCTAGCTGCAACTCGCTGGCACTTCGCAATCGACGGACATGAGTGCCGCAAGCCCACACCTATTGATATTGGTATGTGGCAGGATACCGCCGACAACACACACGTGCCCGCCGTTCTGACAGGAATCTGCGAGTCTATCCTCGGAAACGGAACGAACCTGCCGGCTGGAGATCACACCATATCTGTTCAAGCCGGTCAAATGAGAAACTTTGCTATCGCTGATGCCATCTCCGGCTGGCACACAACATCCTTCTTGGAAGTTGAAGAAATGTGTCCAAGTTCTGCCTTTTACCCTGGGATGGAGACGGCCTGAGTTTTTAAAAGCTGTGAAAAAGTGCCTCTCTGTCTGCTGAGCTGGTTGTTGCCAGGCCTAGGTTGCTGGCACTTGAGAACTCAATTGCCGTAGATCACTCTTACAGTAAAGAATGCAGAACACGAAAAAAGGACCAAAGAACTACAAGTTACGCTACAATATAAACTAACACCACCAGTTACGTAAAGACTGTACGTTAGATAATGGATGGCTGTGCTAGGTTTATTAATTACTAGGCTTTCCTATTGTCTCTCGTTGCTGTCGTTTTTCATAATATTGTGTTGCATTTGTATTACCGGCGAAATAAAAAGAGAAAGGTGTCCTACTCAACTAATCCAGCGCTATTTGCAAAGTTTAAGTGCCCGGGAAGATGGCCGCGTTCTCAGTTGTATTCAGTTAAATACCATCTGATGACTCGCTGACTGAATATGATCTGATGACTCGCTGACTGAATATGATCTGGTTACGTTGGTGGACACGTATTCATGACTCGTAACATGTTTGCCCTTCTCCTTTTATCAATGATTCTGCCTTTTATCATGTTATTCTTTTCAATTCTGCAAATTCGCCGTCATGTGTCCCATTCCGTGCGGATATCAAAATTCAACTCGGACGGTCAGCCAATTTAATTATGGTGAAAATAGGATACGAAAATGATAATAATAACATGATTTTATGCATATCCCCAGTCTTTCTCTACCCATTATTGCGACAATCTCCAAGTCTTATATCAAAGTACCCAGCACAAAAAAAAAGTAAATTATCGTATCCGTTCCCGAAGGGAACTCACGACGGACGGTAAAACCCGATAAACCCTAGCGGCAGATGCAGCGCCTAACGGCACAAGTAACAACATTATCTGAACAAATGTTTCTCGAACACTCCACCACTCCACTGCAGCCTTTTCATTCCGCTTGCAAACACCCCCATTCCCCGAACAGGCTTTTGGCTACACGAGACGAATAACGTACCGCCAATATTTAGCCAATTGGGAATCATCAGGGCCACCGAGAGCATGTAAGAATACTGGAGGTGTTTGCAAGTATCTGATCACCAATTTGCCCATGACCATGCTGTCGTGATCAGATCTTACTTCATCACTACTATTGACCTGATACTGACTACAGAGGATAAGGATTTGCATGATTGCCGAGTCCTGCCGCTTACACTCAGTGACCACTTTGGAGTTGAAGCAACCTTCAATGCAAGACATGCCCGGCCAGACATCCCCAAGCAGCGTGTGCGTCGCCGTTTAGATAACATTGACTTGGTTGCCTTCCGACTTGACCTAGCTGCTGCTGAACTTCATGTGTACCCACCAGACTCTGATGTGCAAGCCATGTGGGACCACTGGCATCAACGATTCCTTTCTGTCCTCGACAGGCATGCGCCATTGCAGCAATGCAAGATAAAGACAGGCAAGCTTCATCCTCCATGGTCTGACAGAGAGCTATACAAGATAAACCAGCTGAAGCGTCGCCTGCATCGAAAGTGGCTTGCTGACAAAGCCAACTCTGAAGCTCACGCAGCATATAGACGTGCCCGCTCGGTTGCTGCGAATACAAACAGGTGCAAACGCAACCAGTACTTCCAAAGTCAGTGCCAAGATAATTGCCAGAACCCACGCAAGTTATGGTCAATCCTAAATACTGTGACTGGACGCAAGAGACAATCAATCCAGCCGACATGCGACATCGAACATGTTGCGTCCACGTTTGGCAAGGTAGTCTCTGATGATGCTCGACCTTCAGTTCTCTCTATGCCTCAGGGACCACAGCCTCGGTCTGCCCTGACCTCATTCCAACATGTGCGTGCCTGCGATGCTGAACAGCTTTTGAAGCGCATCGACCCGCGCAAAGCAACTGGGAGCGACGGCATCCCAGGCTTACTTCTAAAGTACTGTGCCGACCTGCTAGCACCATCAGTTGCAGCACTTTTCAATGCGTCCCTGACCTCCGGCACTGTACCCGCTGGCTTTAAGCGTGCGTATGTGACCCCATTGCACAAGGCTGGCGATCCATCTGTCGCCAACAATTTCCGTCCTGTGTCCCTGCTCCCAATTCTCTCGAAGCTGCTAGAGAAGGTGGTGCAGAAGGCACTTGTCACCTTTCTCGATATGGCTGGTTCTCTGCCCAGCACACAGTTTGCATTCCGGACAGGACATTCCACGGAGGATGCCCTTGTGCTGATGGTAAACAGGATCCTCGCCTCAAGAGACCGCCGCATGTTCACGGGTGTGGTCCTCCTGGATATGTCGAAGGCGTTCGACAAGGTTCGCCACCAGCAACTAGTCGAAGATCTCTTCTGTGTGGGCGTCACTGGAACAGCGCTCCAGTGGCTCATGTCATACTTGTCTGATCGCTGCCAGATTGTCCAGCTGGGATCCCAGCTTAGCACAGTGGCAGCCTGCTCCTGTGGAGTACCACAGGGGTCGGTATTAGGTCCACTGCTGTTCAGCCTTTACACCCGGGACATACCATCTGTTGCCCAGCAAGCTGAGTCCATCCAGTTCGCAGATGACATCGCACTGACCTGCAGTCGCCCAACACAACAGGAACTGACCGCCACTCTCTCCAGAGCAGTGACATGCATTGCTGACTGGCTGAAGCAGCGAGGTTTGATCCTTAATGCATCAAAAAGTCAGGCATTGGTAGTACCGGCTGGGAAGCTAGAAGCGCAACCTGAACTGGACGTATGGTGTCATGCGACTAAGCTGCCATCTGTCTCTTCTGCTCGCTACCTCGGAGTTCACATTGACAGCGCCATGTCTTGGAACACCCAGATGGATAGGTGCGTTGCCCGCCTCACCAAGAAAGTCGGTGTGCTGTGGCGGATGCGCCGCTGCCTCAGCATGCAAAGCCGCATCCAGTACTTCAAGTCGGTGATCATGCCTGATTTCTCATATGGCTCCAATGCCTTCTCAGCATCGCTGGCGGGTAAGCACCTGGACCGTCTCCAAGTTCTGCAGAATCGTGCGGCTCGAGCTGTGTACGGATGCTCGCCGCGCACCTCTGCCAGAAACCTGCTAGTCCAACTCGGCGCCTACCGTGTCCGGGAGATCTTCATCCAGAAGCTCATCTTCCTGGTTTGGCGCTGCCGCTACTCCCGTGCTAGCCCCACACTGCAAGTGCTGTTGCTACCAACCAGTGGCGCTCCTACTCGGCTGCAATCATCGATGGGTCTAAGACCACCGCCAACCCGCACTGAGCTGGGTAAGGGTTGTCTCGCGTTCCAAGGAGCTAGGCTCTGGAATGCGTTGCCCAGCGAGGTGCGGGCCATACCGCACCCGGCCCAATTTCGCACTGCTGCTGTTCCACACAGCATGAACCCTTGAGGTCAGACGGATCACTATCGCCATATTTTCATTATATGCCTGCCTGTTGGCCTGCCTGCCCGTCTCTCTCCCTGTTCTCTGACAACTTGCTTGTTAATTCGTGCGGTTGTTTCAGACGTAAAGCCCTGCTGTAGAGGTCTCAGCCCTCCTTTGTTAGTCTCTCTCTCTCTGTCTCTCTCTCGCTCTCGGATCTCTCTCTCTCTCTCTCTCTCTCTCTCTCTGTTTTTGGTGGACAAAAATATCTCTGGCGTTGATTGCTTTCTTGCTTCGACCTCTGCCGCGCCTTTGTTCTCGTACTCCCCTTTATGTACAAGTGTTGTGCAGACCCTCCCTTAATATAGTCTGTCTCCGGCATTTTGTCCTGAGATGTTTTTGATGCATAGTGATTATGACGCTCATCATTCGCTCCCTTGTCACTGGACAGTTCTGTCCGTTTGGTTTTAGCGAATTCAAATAAAGAAAACAAACAAACAAACAACAAACATTCGAAGTCCTTTTGAACTGGCAAATGAAAAAAAGGTTGAAGCTAGTCGCCAGCCACGACAACATTATAGGGGAAACGGGAAAGTAAGTGGTACTAGTGTAACGAAATGTACGGAAAGGGCAAAGGAGCTATGGCAGAACTGCATCTCTGCCACCTTGTTGCATTCGCGATAAACCTCTGCCTCGTAACATTGCTAGGCAGTTAAGGCTATCTGGAAGGAGATGAGCGTGATTGAAAGCAGGAAAAGTGGTGTTGCTTGTATAGATACACTGCACAAAGAGGGAAACTATGAGAATGTTCTCACTCGACCTAACAACACATCCCGCCGTGACACACCACAGTTCATTCATTGGAAACCGGCACCCTCACTTTTTGGATAGCTACAACATGTAAACGCTGTGAGGGACAACAATACGAACTAAAGTTGCGACTTCGGCGGTAATAGTCATAATGTTGGGTGTTTCATCGTGGAACACACGCTTATTGCCGAACTTGATACTTGACTGACTTACGACTGCCATCCGGAACACACGAGGAGCCTACTCAAGTTCAACTGATGAGGGGTGAATTCCCTGAAACACTGTGCATGGAGTACGGAGTGGTGCTTTCTTGCAGGTTTGCCGAGTGGAAGGCCCGACGTACTCCTCCTGTGCTGCGGATGGCAGTCGGGAGTCTGTCAAGTGTCAAGTTCGGCAAGAAGCGTGTGTTCCTCGTTGGAACAACCAACTTCGCGTGACTTGTTTGTTGCCTAAAGAGAAATGCCCTTACGAATTATGAATGACAGTACACACATAGGTCAAGAGAAAAGGACCAACAAGTTAGGAGTTATGACTAACACTTCACTAAGGTAACGAGATCTTATACAGTCCGATAGTGCCGCAAGGCACAAACTGACAAGGGTAGTAGACATTCGACATTCACTTATAATTCCGTTCCCTTTACGCAATGCTATTGGCTCAACATCCGAGTTTTATTACACTTGTTGTTGAAATTTTTATTTCTTTTAGTTATTTGTCTCAGCAGTACAATGTACAACTTCAAGAGGGTTGAACAAAAATAACAAACAAAATCAGCAAGTCATCGGGAATACGCGTGCTTCAGGTCGATTACAAGGACAACAACACCAACAAAAGACGATGACGACAATAGCCGGATTACACGTACACTGTAATTGCTGGAAGGATTGTCAAAATTGGCCATCGCTTATGTACATGTACAACACCATAGAAAACGATCGTCGACTTTGAAGGTGACTTCATTTCAGAACAGTTGTATTTGCAAGGACTGAGATCGACCTGGGTGTTTTACAAAAGTGAAATAGATTCTTTGAAAGCGCAGCTATTTATGAACACTGTTGTTCCGGCTTGGTGCATTCGCAAAGCCAAAGTGGTTTTTTTATTTGACTGCATGAACTTTGATGGTGTGATCATGGGTTTGGAAAGTGGACTAGTTCTAACCGTGCTGTACTGGTACCTCCA